TTTACTTTCCAAGTGTTAAACGGACTGAGTGACGCTAGAGATTTTTGGATCCTGTCCAAAACTGAAGTTGTTTAGTTTCTGTTGTAAGTTCAAGTTCTGTGGTTAAATTGGAAGCATCTTTAATATGAAAATATAGGTCTAATTCCTAAAAGAAAATATATTAAGTGACATTAGATTGTAATTTATTTATACGCTAATCAGTAAAACATGTTGCAAATCCAAAGAAGGTCACAGAGTTTTTTTCTTCTAAGCAGAAAGAATACTACCAATGGTACTTACGGACTAATAACGTTTCTTTTTTCTTTTTCTTTTCTTCTTTTTTTTTTTTTTTGAGACGGAGTTTTGCTCTTGTTACCCAGACTGGAGTGCAATGGCACAATCCCGGCTCACCACAACCTCTGTCTCCTAGGTTCAAACAATTCTCTTGCCTCAGCCTCCGAGTAGCTGGGACTACAGGCGTGCACCACCATGCCCGGCTAATTTTTGTATTTTTAGTAGAAACGGGGTTTCACCATGTTGACTAGGATGGTCTGAATCTCTTGACCTCATGATCCACCAGCCTCAGCCTCCCAAAGTGCTGGGATTACAGGCGTGACCCACCGCGCTAATGATCTTTTTCCTTCGTTCCTCACTCATCTGTTATAAAGCATCTCAAATAGTGCATTTTCCTACCAAATGCATAATTTCTAAAACTTAACTGCCATATTCATTCTTATAAAAAACAACCAAATAAAAAGTGTGTTTAAAACAATAATTGCTGTATATCTAAATTCAGCTTAAAAGAGTAAACTGAAATGCTCCTCTGAAGATTTAACTTTTATTCTCCTCACCGTCTAATCAGATAGTGAGTTGAAATAACCACTGACACCTTATCTCAGCTAATATGTATACTAAAATTCCACATATATTTGGTAACCTGTTTTCTATTTGTCATTCAGATATGTAAATTTTACCAAATATTCTTAAAATAAGGCAAAGTTCATGTTTAATGTTTTTTGTTCTGCTTTAATCCAGAGAGGGAATAAAAGGTTTATTTTAAAGACTACTTCTGAGTTCACATAATTTAAGGTATACGAAAAAAAGGGTCATTCGAGTATTTGCAACAATTGGTAAACGTAGATAAAGAATAAAGAGAATTCAAGTTTGAAAGCTGACATTGCCTAGTTATAAGGAGAATTACTCACTTTTTTTCTATAAATATTTTTAGAAAAGGTAGCAGTATTACAATGGGCTAGCAGGTCTGAATCAGACTGCCTGCATTTATCTTCCCACTTCTATTTTCTTGCTTTCAATCACGGGCAATTTAATTAAACTCTCTGTCCCTCAGTTTCTCTCCCTTCTTTACTCTTCTTTTTCTCTAACATGTATGTGGGTCATCTGAATCAAATCAGACAGTACGTGTATAGTATTTTGAACAGATAAGCATACACTCAATAAACAGCCCTATTACCATGTAATTCTCACTTTTACTGAAAATTATGAAACTGTTAATTCATCTTCAAACGCCCAAATCTCAACTTAAATTCCCATGAATTGTGGGAGGGAGCAGGTGCGAGGTAATTGAATCGTGGAGGCAGGTATTTCCTGTGCTGCTCTTGTGATGGTTAATAAGTCTCACAAGATCTAATGGTTTTAAAAGGGGAGTTTACCTCATAAGCTCTCTTCCCTTGCCTGCTGCACGTGAGAGGTGACTTCGCCTTCTCACCTTCTCACCTCATTATGCGACCTTCTCAACCACGTGGAACTGGGAATCCATTAAACCTCTTACCTTCGTAAATTGCCCAGTGTTGGGTATGTCTTTCTTTATAAGCAGCGTGAAAGCGGACTAATACAGACAATGAAATATATTATGTAAGGCCAATCATGCAAATTATTGTGCATTTCATCATAAAATATATATTTATTTGTATATGTCAGCACAACTTTGGTATTTAATGCATACTTTTCGTCTACAAAGAGTAATAGATTCTAAAATTGATCATTATTCTAACTTCGTTTTCATTTCTAGTTTATAAATCATGAAAATAAATATTTATCTTAAAACCACTTCTGAATGAATAGTAGCTGAATATGCCACCTTTTGGCATAAGGATTACTTTGAGCTGAAGACAATTGAAAAGAAGCAGATACAAAAAAAAAGCTCTTCTCCCCCAACCCCATTTGCCTAAAAGAAGGGCATAAATTTACAATGGTGTCCCCTCTCCCCTTTATATTGGAAGGACAAAAGTTGATCAGCGAAGACGACCTTAGACCCTTATTATCCTGAAGCCTTATTAACCAGAAGAATCTGTGGAACAAACCTGATTATCCTTTACCTTCCGTTAGCTCTCCTTATATTGGCCTTGCCACAATTTGTTGGCCCTCAAGCTCAAGGTCGTTTGCCTTTGTCTTGTCACATCTCTAAAACTGAATTGTCTTTTGTTGAAGATGGTGTATAAGCTGATATTCTAAGCCAGGTCTTGAGAATTGCTTATTGCCTGGGTATCTCCCACATATACAAAAAATTAATGTCAACAAAACTCTTGTTTGTTTTTCTCTTATTAATCTGTCCTTTGTTATTGGGGTCCCAGATAAAAACTCAGAAGAGTAAACAACAGTTTATTTTCCTTCTATTTATATATATAGGTATAATCTCCTTAAAATGGATGGCATCTCTTGCATTGTTTCCACTTGCCTGGAAACTTTTATCTATTTTGTAATTCAATCCTCATGATGACCTCATAGTTTAAATATTATTATCTTAATTTATAGTGTTTAAAAAAAAAAACAGAATCCACAAGATCTAGGAGGAAAACTATGATTCCAAATCAAATCCGTGTGATTCCTAACGTGTCATAGCTCGAGTGAAATGACAGCCTTAAGTTTCCAGGAGCCCTCTCACTTGAATGCATGTATTTGCTTGAAGATATGATCCCGGGGGAGAAGACAGAGAAAGACAAACACAACTTAAAATGAAAAAGATGACTATCCCCAATTTTCCTGCCACATAGAAGCAAAGTAAAATTAGCCTGGGGTGACTTGCGGATATTTTACACCTATTTTTAACTCACCACTCCAATTTATTAGTCTCTAAAATATTCCTGTCTGAAATAAAGATGTGGGGGGAATGAAATCTTTGAAAGCAGCTGAGACATGTGCCAGGGGCTGTGCTAGGAATGATATCATTAACTACATGTTATAAAAAGAAAACCTTGGGGGAGATAGGGAGACTGAGGCTTAAAAAGATGAGAAAATTTACCCAAAGGCTTTGCAAGTTGGGTTGAGATTTGAAAGTGATTCTGTGTAACACTAAAACCCAAACTTTGGAAGTGAAAATTCCTTCTTTTCAGTCAACTAATTTAAGGATTTTCTGACCCTGTGCACATAGATCCTTATTTTAAAATAGAAACGGTCAATGAAAATGATTGTGTTTATTTTCTGTAACTCGCAGTCACATCTCCTCATTAACCAACAATGGAATTACATACATTGATTTCTGAGTTAAACTTTGATATCCTGAATGAAAGTTCATACATAATAAATATTTTTACATTATTTGCACAGTAACTTTATACTATTTAACTCAACTTCAAAAGACTAACATATAGGAGCATTAAATATCTTTAACCATGATAATTTACAATTTTTAATACACCAATAAAATTATGAATCATTGCTTTGCTTAGTGCAATCCTTCAAAAATATCAAAGATATTTCAAAAGATGATATAAGTGTTACTTTTTAAAAAGATAAGCTAAAATATTATCAAAGAAACAAATTCACAGTAAGAACAGCTTACAGTGGGAGGCTGAAGATTAAAATTGCTCTCATTATAAAGGATTCTCAGTAGGAAATTGGGTTATTTTTGAGCTTAGTACAATAGAAATGCAGCCTGACATGAACCTATAAGCAGCAGCAAAAATGACTTTGGATAAGTTTTAACTTTGCAGTAATTTGCAACTACCAGATCAATACTTCAAGGAAACCATTGAAGTATTCAGAAACCTACTTCTGGTTTCTGAAAAAATCTAAATATATGAGAGTTTAAAAACATAGAATATATAAATGTAAATATATACATTTACAACTATTTCCCCAACTGTAGGTATTTTCCAAATAATTGCTTTATATTATAGTCAGGTAATAAAACTATCATTTTCTTTTCTTTTTTTTTTCCTTAATTGAAGGTGATTTTCTATTATAATTATGGCTCATCCCTTCAGTGGGTGTCAAAAAATCCAAGAAAGAAGTCATAGAATCATAGTCTACATCATGTAATTAATACACACTTACTCAGTAAATAAATGAGTGAACGAACTGGTCCCAGGATTTTAAGACAGTGTTTTGAAATGGAGATGTTGTTTTCAAGGTGAAATTTGAACTACAAATCTGTGGATAATTTGCTTTAATTCCTTAAAACCTTTTTCTGTAATATTAATCTTACCTGTTTCCCCAAAGTAGGAGAAGTAAGAATTAAGTTAGAACTAATAAGCCAGAAACACCTCCTGTACGCTCATAGGAAAAGCAATAATCTTTTTCTGTATTTTGTTGCTATTTGTCCTATCTTGCTTGCATTGTAAAATGGGCTAGCACCTGCTCAAACTTGAGAATTCATTAATATTTAATTTAGAAGACTAAAAAGGGAAAAACATTCTTCTTATGAAAAATTATCTTTGTTTTCTCCAAAATGATTTCCCTGTTTTATATAAATGCCACAAAAATTCCACAAAGATTTTCTTTACTTAGCACCAATAAGATACATACTTTTAAAAAACAAGTTTTATATAGTTTTCAGCTTTGTTGATGTGTGATTGATAAAAAACTTAATTAGGTTGTACAATGATGTATTTTGATATAAGTATATCTTGTATAATAATTCCGAAAATCAAAGTGATTAACAGCCACATCGCTTAACATAGATTTTTATTGACGGGGTGATGTTTGTTTCTTTGTTTTTTGCTTATTTTTTGGCTGAGCATACTTAATATGCACCTACTCCTTTAATACACTTTAAATATATAAAATATACAGAATGCTTCGTGAATTTGCACATCATCCTTTTAGAGGGGTCTTACTAATCTTTGCATCATTTTAATTTTAATATACGTGCTGTTAAAGTGAGCAGTAAACCTCTTTTTTGTGAGAGGAATTACTCCTTCTTTAGAATATTTGTTTTTATTTGTAATATTGAGATTTCAATAATATTGACTAAAACCTATTGCCTATGAAAATCTTTTAAATGGAATCCTAGAATGGATGAGATATAAACTTGCTGAGGCCATAATCTCTATGAAACATTATAATAAATAATAATAAAATTACAAGAGACATTTGATGGAAAAAAGAGCCCAGAAGCAGCAGTAAAGATGGCATCATAGACAAACAGATCAACAGAAAAAAAAAAAAAAACACAGCCATCAACCTAGCACAGCAAAACTATCTAATAATGAAACTAAAATAGTTATGTTTTGCAATGAATTAGGGTTCGTTTTACTACAAATATTTCTTACCCAAAGACATTTCTAAATGATATATTTCAGGAAGGAAAAAAATTCCAGGATGGTCTGTGTTGCAAGGAAAAAACAGTGAAAAAAATAGTGGAGTAAAGACATGAAAATACAGGTGTTTCAGATGAGCATGAAGATGCCATCTACAAACCTAGAGGCTTAGAGCAGATTCTTCCCCGGAAGTCCTCACGAGGAAACAGCTGGCTGACGTGGGTTCTACTTCTAAGTTCTGACTGTGAGATAATAGATTTATGTTGCTTAAGCCACAAAAAAATATGAATGTATGAAAATCAAAATAAGTTATTTTATACAATAACTAAATAAAAATAATGTAAAATATGTTTGGCTAAAACGAAGGAATTAAAATAATAAAATCTTGTCTGTGAAACAGACTAGGGTTGATCAGTCTGAAAGAGTTCTAAGGTCTTTCAATCATTCAAATGGTGATTCAGGTCAGCACCAAAGGGTGAATTGAAAATAACAGCCAGAACTCAAAACTGTCGTATTTTATGAAGTAAAAATCAATGAAAAATAGTGGATAAAAGAAACATTTCATTGATGTATAAAAGGAAAGGAAGGAGGAAAGCTGGTCATAAAAAGGTAGAAAAAGTATCAAAACCTAAATAAAATAGAAGCGTGTTAAAATGTATCAAACATCAAAAGAGCTATACTTATCAGTTACACAAAAACATAGATTGCCTGTGGAAAATCAAACAACATTCCACAATATGCACTTACAAGCTGTATACAGAAAACATAAAGAAATTGTTTAAATGCAGATTAGAACAAGAAGCCAGAGTGGCTGTATTAATATCAGAAAAGAAGACTTTAGTGCAAATCCATATAAAGGAAGGTGAGGCGAGGGTCACTACATAATGATAAATGTTTAATTAGATGGAATCCTATGACAGTTTTATATCTGTTTACAGCTATTAAAATAGCAGTGTTAGGAAAAGCCAGGTGTTCTAAAATTTAAATAATAATGGCTAGGTAGTTTATTTTCCTCTTATTTATTTAAAGTAGAACAGCAAACTACCCAATGCTGGTGAGAGAGATTTGCACCTGAATTTTTCGGGGATTAGACTTCTTATACTTCATTCGTTGGTCACACTTCAGTGTAGTTTTCACCATCATGGTCTAAGAAGGTGGAATTTTGTGTCCTATGCTGTAAACTAGAAGGAACAATAAAGAAGACAAAAGGTCTCTGCCAACTATCGATACCATGTTACACTGCTTATATTCCATTAGCCATTAGCCGTATCTCGGTGATAACATCATGTGTAGGTGAAAGGAGTCTGGCAATAGTAATCTGGACAGCTCCCATAACTACTGAAGTAGAGAACAGACTGTGGGGGCAACCAGCAGCCTCTGCTTCAATAATCTCAAAATATATTAAGCCAAAGTTAATAGAACTGCAGGGAAAAACTGGTAACCACTATCTTAATGAAAGATTTTCAGTTTCTTCTCAAACACTGAGAAGTTAAAATCATGAAAATATTAGTATGTGTATAATACTATATACATAGTATTATACTATATCTATATACACAGTATATACTATATACATAATATTATACTATATCTACATACACAGTATTATATATATAATTATCTAGTCTGGTAGTTATATATATTTGTATATAATAATGTTAGATTAAAAGATATATATATATGTATATGTACATTTATTTATTTAGCACTCTGAAACTGTCTAAAAATGTTTTTCCTCAAGAAGGAAGTCCACTCACAAAGTTGGTCAAATACTAGGCTATGAATGAGATCGATATTAACAAAATTTCAAAGTCTGTCAATTAGATAATGAATAAAATATAAATGAATTATGTAGTAAATTCACCAATAATGTAAATGCATATACTTAGAAATTGTCTTCTAATTGTTAATATTTAATAGATCAAAAAGTCTCTATAGAAATCTTTAAGTGTGTGTGTGTGTGTGTGTGTGTGTGTGTGTGTGTGTCAGGCCTTGATAAACAAATTGAAAACAAGTCTTCTGTTGTTTTGAAAAATAAAAATTCTTAGAAATTCAATAGTATCGCAATTAAAAAGAAATGAAGCTCAGATATTCCTGAAAAAAAAAAAAAAGGCAATTGAATTGGTTTTTTAAAAGTTCCAAAAAGTAAAATTCTTGGACCAAAATGTTTTCTGAATAAATTGTAACTTATAAAAACATTAAGTCTTATGTAAATTTTACTAAAGAATTAAAATGAAGGAATACAATGCAAGTCATTACGTGAAGTTAGTGTAACCTTGTTACCAATTCCAGACAAGGCTATAATGAGAAAGGTAAACTGAAGATCAATTCTCTTTCTAAATATAGATGCAAAAATTCAAAACAAAATTTTAGTTAACTGAATCCAGCAGTGCATGAATGTTCTACAGCATGTCTATGCTTGGTTTATTACAGAGTTGCAAGGGTGCTTTCTAACCAAAATTTTTAAAAAGTAAGTATGTTTATCACATTAAGAATTCAAAGGAATAATTAAATTAGTAAATGCAAATTTGTTTAGTTCTTAATTCAATTTTTAAAAATAGAGACAGTGTCTTACCCTGTCAGTTAGGCTGGAGTGCGGTGGCACCATCATAGCTCACTGCAGCCTCAAAACCCTGGGCTCAAGTGTTCCTCTTGCCCCAGTCTCCCAAATAGTTAGGATTACAGGTAAGCACCACTGTGCCTGAATTTTTTTTTAAATTCTTTGTAGACGTATTCAATATAGTAAAACATGAGAAATTCAATGTATATGGATTAAAATAGAAGAAATAAAATAATCATTATTAAATATGGTTGCATAGAAAATCTAAAATAATATTTATTAGAATTGTTGGCATAAAAACAGATAGAAAATTGCTGAATATAATATTAACGTAAGATACTAATTGCATTTCTAGAGAACTAAGACAATACTTGGAAAATATATTCTAAAGAAAAATATCGGACATCATTCACCATGGTAGTTACATGTCATCTCTAGATAACCTAAATTACAGTAATATGTGTTTGCAAAAAATTTAAAATGATTGTAAGACATTTAAAAGGATACAAATAAATAAAAATATATAGTATTTGTGGATCAACGGGATCTATTCAGTCATGTTTCTCCAAATCGACTATAGGTTCAATGAAATTACTCAGAACATTTTCAACAGATGTTTGTAAATCTTTTTGGATTTGCAAGGCACAGGATTAGCCAAGAGACTCCCGAAGAAAATAAGCAATTTTGAGGGATCCTTTTTTATCATATATCAAGATATTTTAAAAGACTAATATGTTTAAATTAATATTGTGTTAGATTAGGAATTAGCAAAACAGGTTCAAAATAAATACATAACTCCATGAATTAAAGAACATTTAACATATTATAGAAAAATCACTCTAGTCATTAATAAATGATTGGTGAAAAGGAGAGACTGTTTAATTAGTGACACTGAGACAATTGATTATGCATTAAAACGAAAAAAAAAACAGAAATAAAATTGTGTCTCTAGTTTACAAGTTCCACAGCAATCTACTTCAAATAAACAAGTATAAAATAATAACAATACAACCTTTAAAAGATGAGATTAAAGAATTTCTTATCGACTTTGGGGTAGAAATAATATCCATAACAATAAGTCTTTACTAATTGAAATATATTGAAATTTGAACATATGTTCAGCAAAAAACTGTTAAAAGGGAAAAAAAAAACACAAAAATTTGGAGAAGATATTTGCAGCACATATAGTTGAAAAGCTATTATTATCCAGTGTATTTTTCAATGTATGAAACATTAAGTTTTATAAATTGTCTCTAAACAAGAACCACCAAGTAAAGCTAATGAATAAATGCCGACACTGCATTACTAATTAGGTATATGCAAAGTAAGAGTATAAGGAAGGGTTTTATATTCATAAGACTGCCAATATTTAACAATTCCACGCATGATGGAGTTAATATCCCATGCCACTTGATCCAAGTCTGGCTATCAAGTTAGATATACTGCTTGTGGGACAAATTGCTGTAATCGTCGAAGAAACAAATGCCATTATTTTAAAGAGTCATACAAGTCAATTCTTAAGCTAGCAACTGCACTTACAGGCTTAGACAAACTTATACAAATGCCCACTAGAAAACAGGCACAAGAATATTTACAACAGCAGCATTTGTATGAGCAAGAAATTGGAAACAGCCCCAAAGTATTGGAAAACATAAATAAATCATAATATATTTGTGTGACGCATTGTAAGATATTGGCATTAAATGAAAAAAAGTTGTAGCAATAACAAAGATGAAACTTAAGACAAGAATGTTGAATAATGAAACGTAAAATAAAAGGATCAAACTACATAAAATGTGAAAATGCTTCTAAATGCTCCAAAGAAGTAAATTAATAATACATTGTGTAAGAATGAATACATTTAGTAGTTATACACATAAAGCACACAAATAAAATCCTGAATTTAAAAAAACTCAGATTAGTTTCAGCTACAATGAGGGTCATGGCAATGAAATTGGAAATCAGTAATGATTTTGGTTCTATTAATATCTATTTTTATCATATGTCATAATTTAGAAATTTGTTACATATATTTTATGTTTAAAGTAATGCATAATTGCTCTAGGA